AGCAATTCGACCTCTCCACCCTCCCAAGACTTCCCTTCCCTTCCTTTCCCCTCCCCCAGCGCAACGTGCCCTGCCAGCAACTTTAACTCTTTAATCTGATTAATGGCCTAATCCTGCCTTATGCCCAGCTGCTCAGCATTCGCCCTCCAACAGGCCCCAGTGGGGACAACCAACTTCTCCGCTGCCCCCTTTCCACACCCACACCCACACACACAGGCTTTGGAAATGTTTCAGTGGTGGGATGGGAAATGAGGCGCGTGGGTGGGTGAGGGTGAAAGGCTTATAAGACTGCTAATTAATCGTCATCATGAAAGCAGCTCGTGGTCCTACTTTTTAGTGCAATCCAGCAGGATCCCGGTGAAGCGCTTCTCCCCGCAGCTCAGGGTAACCACCAAGGTGTCGTTCACCATCTGCTCCACCAGCACCGGCAGCCAGGAGCCGACCTGCGGCTCCTTCGCCTCGGCCGCCTCTTCCTCCATGCTTTTTTTGCTCAGGGACTCGGCGGCGGTGGCAGCCTCCGTTGCAGCTGGTGGGTGTGAGGCTGCCGGGAGGGTTCCCAGGCGGCCTTGCTCGGGCCAGCTCCCCTCCCCCAGGCCGTGGAAGCTGGCGGGCCGCTGCTGCCGCTGCCGCCGCTTCTGCTGCTCTCGGGACAGCTACCCTGGCCGCTGCGATGACCTCATGGCTCCGGGCTCCCCCTCAGCAGGCAGGATTAGTAGGTAGGCTGACGTCACAATGCTTCCCTCCCGGGAACGTTCCACGGCGGAATCCTGAAACAATTGAGTCCATTAGGGGCACACGAAAGAAAGGGAGCGCAGTGTTGCTCCTGTGAAACCTCCCACCCCCGCCCCCACACTTTCGCTGAAGAGCACTACCTCTAGAAAGCAGGTCTGCTGCCCTCTGCCCCCCAGTTAGAAGCACCAGCGTAACGCCTACGTCAAGGGGTCAAGTGATTACCCAGGCAGGCTAAACAGTTTCCGTCCCTGCTGACTGTAATTGTAACACTTCCAAACGAGCACAGACAAAGCAGTGATTACATTCAATACCTTTCTTCCCTTTCCCCACCCACCCCCTCCATCCCCTCACAAGGTAATTCGATTGGCCAAAAACGTGGAAAGTCTCCCCACCCCTGCTGCAAACCACATATTTACCTGGAGTGCGTGGCTGCAACACAGGCTTACACCTTCCCCCCCCACCAGTCGATTGCTAGACAAGCTCACAGTAAAGTCAATTATTTCTTTTGCCCTCACATGGCTCTGATAAACAAGGCTAATCGTTCTGCTCTGCAGATAAAACACAGGTTGTCTGTGCCCTCCTCCAAGTGGAATTGGGTTTAATTTATATTTAACTTGCATTTAAAGTTGATCCATTTGATGTGTTCTGCCATAAAGGCAGAAAACGACTTTTGTTTCTGTTACAGTTGGATTTCATGCATGCTCAGAAGCAAGCCATACATAGGTACTTCTGCAAAAAAGGGGGGGGGGCAAGTGCACAATTATGTCTGCATTGCACTGCAGGGAAGACAGCTGTATGCTGTACTACCTGCTTACTGCAGTCCAGTACATTTGGGTGAAGACTTTGGCAATAGGTTCTTCTATGTGCATTGCAAATGGAAAGATTTCCATGCCAATATGCTGTATTTTGCAGATCCTTACCACAAATCCCTTTAAAGTGTGGAGTCTGAATCCTGCATAATAGAACATATTGGAAGGCCAGGCTTTTCCTCTGCAGTGCAACTGGAAGCACTTGGATATGGTAGTTTGGCTTGGCCAGAGTATAAGAAAGGGCATACAAGTAGGCAGCCTTTCTGGCTCCTGTTAATCAATTCATTTGTTGAGGAGAGCACCTCCCCCCCCTTTTTGCAGAGTTAAGATGAACAGAGTGAAGCAATTTATGTCAGACAATTCAGATGCAGAAATACCCTACAGGATATTCCATATGTTTTGCAAACATTTTTCAAAAGGCATCTCGAAAGTTAGTTTTTGCCAAACAAGCCTACCTTTTAAAATAAAGATTTATGGCTATTTTTCTTCCTCATGACGTGTCTTTTGTATCAACACTTTTCCTTACCAGGACTTCAGTGAATGTTTTACTTAGAGATAAGCCCCACGAGAGCATAATCCTGTGCTCATGACATGGAAGCAAGCACTACTGAACAACAGAGAACTTATGTATAAATAAATATGCATACCATTGTGTGGATAGTTTTCCTTCACAGGGATGTTACTAATAACACCACCTTAGGCCTGTTTCAAAAGGAGGCCCTGTTTTGCTCAGTGGACTTACTTCCTATTAAATGTGCTGGACTGAAGCCAGAACTACAGTTGCTTGCACTCCTTAAGGCAGTTGCTATTAAATCTTGCTAGACAACTGACTGCTTTAGAGTAAGCATACTGAAGCCTGCAAGGGCATATTTGCAGTACAGTTCAAAAATATGTGTATATGGAAACAAGTTCTGATCACATTACATTTTTCACAAAGCAATCCTATAAATGCCATGTCAAAAGAAAATCCCATTGACCCTAATGAGATTGCTCTCAAGTAATTATGTATAGGACTGCAGCCTCAGAGTCACACACTTTGCTTATTTTTAGCTTTTTTTAAAAAACATGTTTTCCTTCTTTTATGAATAGAGGACATTTTCAAAAGAGGCATTCTGAATGGACAGCCCAAGGTCGTGCACATTCACTTAGATGTAAACCTATGTGGATGTAGGTGGACTTACTCATAAGTAAGTGTATATACAATCACAGCTTTTACATTATTATTGTAAAGAAGTGTGTATTCTAATAAAGTACAGTACTGTGAATCTGCCAGAAAATTCATTACAGTAGCAAACCTGCTTGCTCTCACTCTTCATGGCTTCTGGTGCATGTGGTGGGGGAGGCTGAATCATCCAACTAACATATATAAGAGCAACACAGAAGCAGCCATCTATCTTCAGATCATGTCATGATCAAATAAATACTTTTAAAAACATGCTTGTAAGAGACTATGAATAACAGTTCAGTTGCAGTCTTGCTTTCTGTTACAAATTAAAAATGAAACAGGCAACAGCCTGAGTCCCTTTCTGGGCCTGCCATGGCTATAAGGTCGCCGAAAAGTAAAAGGAAAGGGATCAACAAATAAGACAGCAAGAAACAAATATTAAAAACAGACTGATGTTCTTGTGAGTATTGGGGGAGGGGATGGTTCGAATCTTTAGAACCCTTTAGAACTGAATGACAAAACATCCCACAGGTATTTTCTGTAAAATTATTTCCTCTGGCCTAGGCAGAATGTGACAAAGAAGGGAGGAGAACTGCCCCCTTTGCATTCCAGAGGGGATCTGTAGGGCTACTTTGCTCCTCCTGCTCCTGGCACATTAGCCCTTTATCTATAAGACTGCAATGCTTTCCGAAGCGCCATCCCTTAGTACAATATTAAAGAAGCCTTTCTCAGATGAACAACATCTAGGAAGGCAAGGAAGTTTGCTGAAATGTAGCATTTCAACTCCAACCACATCTATAGGAAAGAGGGGCAAGACAGATTCCATGGGGATAATTAAAGGTTTGTGGGTGGTCAAAAAAAAGAGGGACAAGCCACCCATATTTTTCCTGCTTAAAGCAAATCTCATTTCTTTGAGCAGGCTTGTTCAGAATCCCAGCTTCCTTAGCATGGAGGGACAATGAGGAAAGAAAAGGAGAAAGGTAGAAAAGGCATCAATTTGTATTTTTCTTTGTTGACTCTTTATTTACATTTTTAAAAATTCCATCACTGTACTTTTTAGCTTATGCTATCAAAACTATTTGAAGCAAACCCTGAAAAAAAGTGTGGTTAGAATATAATGTGTGGATGATATGAAACAGTAGTAGAGGCTTTTCTGTTTGTACCCTCTCATTTTCCCAAAGCTCTGTTGTTTAGATACATATTCTTATAGAGGATCAAAAATTCAGCACAAGTCTGACAACCCCTTTGCTTCCAGGGCTACATTTTATGCTAGTGGGTTCTCTAAACGCCATTGGGTGAGATTGCACACACGGATATTTAACACTGCTTACAAGGAGAATTATTGTGTGTGTGTTTTTAAAATAATTTAAACTTATCCCACAATCTTAGGCAGACTGGATCATTTTTTTTGAAAAGACCAGCTAGAAAGCATTAAGAAGGAAAGGAGGGATGAGCCAACCAATTATCAATTGAACCCTAATAAATGAGAACAATGCAAATGCATAGAAATAATGAGGAGAAGAAAGTCTGTGGCTCACATTACCTGAGCGATCACTGTTTCTCTTTTCCTGTCTCTCTCTCTCTCTCTCTCCAGTCCTTTTAACCATGACAATGTTTGACAATCCTCCGAGGTTACTAAGTGCGGCGTTCCACTTCCACCACGCGCCCCCTAGTGGCCGCTTCTTGACATTTCCCCGTTTAAAACTGACCTCTCCGGCCTCGTCCGGGAAGGAAGTGCCGCCCCCTTCCCCGCCGGAGAGAAGGTTGTCAAGCCGGAGCAGGGCTTCTGAGCTGGGAGGCGGGCAGAGGCGGCGCCGCCGCCCGAAGGAGAGGCGGGTCCCAGCCGTGCAAAACCGGCCGCCGCCGCCGCCGCCGCCACCTTAAAGGCAGGGCAGCCTTTCTCTCCGGTTGCCTCTCCGAACCTTCCCAGAGTAGGCAGCAGGCGGTCTTATGGGCCACCGAGTTGGCAGAGGCGCCCGTAGACGCCCACCAGGAACAGGGCGAAGGCCGAGTGGCGATCCCGGGGCGTCCCGAGACCTAATGCTGCCCGAGGCCGGATAGAAAAACGACACCCTGCCCAGTCACTGGAACGTTACAGGAGCCACAGCCAGCCAATTTATTTTATTTTATTTTTTAAACCCCAGGAGCAAATCGATCAAAATAAAATCTCTCAAGAGTCTCTGCACATGTCTGGTGGTAAAAAATAGTACAAATAACTTTTCATGATATAAAAAATCCGGCTGTCTCATTCTGTCTTAACAGCACAGTCAGCTCTGAGGCGACTTAATCTCATAAACATTCATATTGTGGGGATATTTGCTTGGCAAGAAAGGTTGGCAAGAAAGGAGAGGTAGCTTCAGATAGAGATCATGTTACAGTCTTCAGAGAGGTAGACATCTTGGTCTGTTTCAGAGAGAAACAGCAAAACGGAGGAAAAAAGTTTGGTGGCACTCTTTGTTCTAAAGATGCCCCAAGACTCTCTCTCACACCCCCATGCTATTTTTTTTTTTTGCAGCCTTCCTGCTGCCATCAAAAACAATGCAATCCTGCACTAGAAAGTCAGGATTGGATCCTGAGGGAGCCTGCCACATTATATTTTGATGGTTCTGTCTTCTGCTTTGTTTAAAACAAAGTCGTTAACACTGTGCCAATGCCAACAGGGTTAGTACAGTAGAAGGCCGAGCTTAAACTGATGTGCAGGTGACTCCATGCCACTTGCGGAATGACTCTGTTTTGGAAGGGCAAAAAGCAACCAGAAGATGCTTGAAGGTGGGTCAGATGAAGATGCAGTGTGGGGTCTAGAGAGGAATTATGGAGAACCATACTCAGCCTAAGGACTGGGCTCACTTTCTGTGATATTCTTGGGATTGGGGCTGCATTCTGCTGATGAGAAGGCAAAAGGCAAGGACTGAAAATACCAGCAGATTCAGCCTGCATGTTGAGCAGAGCCGTTTCAACCTCTGGGAAAAATGAAAGGGAAAAAGATCCATAATGGTACAGTATTGGGGGGGGGGGAGAGGTTTTGGCAATCTCAGGACCCTAAAAGGTTAAGTTTTGCCTCAAAGTTACGTGCTTTTGGCCTACAGAACACATCTCTATAACCTATGCAAGAGTTTTGATACATCAAATAAGTGAAAAAAATGTTCCATCCTAGGACCCCTCTTTCAATTAGCGCTACACGGCAATTAAATGTTTGTTTTAATGCTGTGAGGGAGAAGTGATTTGGAGGACAGGGTTGCAATAGGTGAAGAAAGACCTGTTTCCCTTCCCAGCAGTGCCTGCCCTGTAGCAGATTGGCTTTTTTAATATCTTAATTTTGCAAGATGGGCAGACCTGGCTAAAGGCATCTCGCTGCCTGATGCAAAGGACAAAATACCCCCACCCATTCCATCCTGACCAGCAGTTGCATCTTATTCCCATCATGGTCATGTGACAGCATCCTCCACCTCACCTGAGGGCAGCAGACTAGATAAGCAGGACTGGAACAGCCAAATGAAACACACCACTGTGTGCTCCAACAGAGGACAGCCAGGATACTGGAGTATCAGGCATCCTGCCCCCTCCACCTTCCATCACCTGTTGCCTGACATGATCACCATTGCCTGGTGGCAGGGCTAGCTGTGCAATGATTTATGTATCTTGTATTTGGGAAATTGGAGGTGAAGGAATCAGCTATGGAGGTGGAAGCACATGGACTAAAGTGGGTGTGTGGTCTCATCCCAAAAGTTCAAGAGGAACACCCTTATTCCAGTCATGAGATGCTAGTAGACCACCCTAATAAATTAAGCCCTCCTAGAGCAGCAGTTTTTAGCCTAGGATCCATGAGCCCCTTAGGTGGTCCATGGATGGACAGTTATACACAGGATTTTATGTGCCTGTATTTGTGTGTGTTGTTTCACAAAGGGGGTCTATAGGTTTCATTAGATCCTTCAAAGGGATTTTTGACCCACCCCACCCTAAGGCAGTGTCTACCCACACAAGTACATGATGTGCAGATTCTTCAGCTCTTTGCTGTGAAATGACAAAGCAAAGTGACCTTGATGCCAAGAGAGTGGTGTAATCCAGGTAAACTGTGAAGCCCAGTCTCTTGCAATCTTCTTCTTCAGCCCTGCCCTGGCACTGGATCGACTTGAATGGGGATTGAGCAAGATAGCAGCTGTGCTCTTGGCAAGGCACTCCTCCTTGTTAGCCAGTCTGAGACAACTGCTCCAGGCAGCAGATGCCAGGGAGCCTCTGTGGCAGCAATTCTGCTGATCTCCCTGGCTGTCCTATGGGCCTGCACACCATAGCATTTGCCTGTGGCTCCCTAAATGAGCCTGTTGTTTTAGGGCAGTGGTTCCCAATATTGGGTAACCCAGGTGTTCCTGGTCTGCAATTCCCAGGAGCCTTCACCACAAGCTATGCTGGCTGCAGTTTCTGGGAGTTGCAGTCCAATAATACCCAAAGTTGGAAACCACTGCTTAGGGCATGGGCCGACGCCTTTCCTCATACAATTCAGCTCCAGACCAGTTGCATGCAATATGTGGATGTGTGTGTGTGTCTTTGTGTGTGCTATCTTATCACTTGCTGTGTGTGTGTGTGTGCGCGCGCGCGCTATCTTATTACTTGTCCCAGGCATTAAAATGTCTCAGATCATGCTCAGCTGCTATCATACGTTCAGGGATTCCCCCATTTGCTACCATGGATCTGCCATCCCTGCAGTCTCAGCAGGAGGTAGGTGAGATAGAGAGCAAGACCATTCCCTGGGGCCTATGGCAAGATTACTTGCCCACCTCTTTCCTTCCCATCTCCTTTTCCTTCTTTGTCATCTTCCTTTAGATACTGTATGCAAGCTTATGGACAAGGACTCTTTCCTCCCCCTTTTAATGTTGCCTTTTCCTTCTTTGTCATCTTCCTTTAGATATGCAAGCTTATGGACAAGGACTCTTTTCTCCCCTTTTTAATGTTGCATTTTGCCAAGGAGAGGAGGATAAACATGTGATCAAGAGAAACAAATGAATGTACATTTAAGTGGCATTGTGTAAGCTAAGTTCCTGTCATTAAGCCCTAAGGCTGATAAGTTAGGCATTTTACTCCAGCTGAACCACTTGGTCGCGCCTTCCCTTCTTTTGCTGCAGTTGGGAATTACATTCCTTGCAAGTCTGTCCGTGTTGCCGCACAGCTATTTGGCAGGGATTGTGCAGTTAACAGTAATAACCCTTCAGTGGTTGCTGTGCAGCAGCAGGCATTAATGCTGCTCCATAGCAGCAGAAAACAAGATAGCTTCTCTAGAGAAGAGCGCATTTCTTTGTTATTAACTTGCAACTAGAATGATGTGTAAACAATGTTCCTTAGAGACCACAAGAAGGAAGGACCATAGGAATGCAGCTTAAGTTTGAGCTCCCTTAAAATATGTTCTTGTGCCAGTTTTCCACCTTGGACTTAGCACATAGAACACATGATAAGAATCTCCATTGGTATTTGTAGCTTTAGGGTATTTGCCTTAGAGCAGGGATGGGTCACTGTGGCCCTCCAGATGTTTGTTGGACTGCAACTCCCATGGACCCTTACCATTGACTATGCTGACTAGTTGGAAGCCATCTTCTCAGTGATATCTACAGGACCTTCCCCCACAAGCAAGAGTTTATTGAGAAAGACCTCTATTGAAAACTTGCAGAATCACTGCTAGTCAGAGTACACTATACAGCCCTAGAAGGACAGATAGTTCAATTTGTGTAAGGCAGTTTCCTAGGCTGGTTCTGGATATGGCAATGCCAGGGTGCAACACAAGAAGCTGCATGAGGCTTGCGCCAAACATTTAGAGCCCAAGAGAGAATTCCCAGATGCGTACACAGCTGGCCTTGCCTTGAAATGCTTGTTGAAAACAAACCAGAAATTCTAAGCAGATTAAGAGCTGAGCCAAAGAGTGTTCTTCCTCCAGGAGCTGCCAGCAATGGATGTGCATTATTTTTGTCTATGAGACTTTTTGCTACCCGTTCCAATGCCTTCAGCTGATATTTGAGTTCCTTTTTAAGTAAAAGATTTGTTTATATGTAAGAATGTGTACTTCTCTGCCTTCTCAGTGATTCCTGAGGCCCATACAAGAACTTCTTTTCCTTCCCTGACCTGAAGTTTTGGCTTAAGAGAAAATGTGACATTAATTAAGCCAGAAATTGCCTGCAGTATAACTAGTCAATTTCACAGCTCTTGTTGCTTTATATAGGGCAAAGGGAAGCAGCTGCAATAAGGAATTGTGAGCATCATGTAACACACTTTTTCCTCTTCCTGCTTGCCCAGATTGCTCCACAGATATAATAATGATTTGTACAGAACATGCCTTTCTTTCTTCTTCTGTTTTTGGAAAACTTATTTTAGAAGAAAATACAGTGTGACATTTGAAAGCCATGCTTAGTAATATCCTAAGGCTCTATTCCTATACATACTTGCATGGAATATGACTAGAATTCAGTGGGGTTCAGTTCTGAGCCTACATGTAAAGGATTGAGCCATCCCATGACATTAACACAGGACGACTGCTTGCTTGCCATTGGAAAAACTGTGAACTGTGTTTTTTAGGCCTTTTTATATCTTACAAACAAAAGAGATGCACCTTCAAGTTCTACCCCCCCTCCCCCCATTCATTTCAATACATGAAGCAACGAACAGGCATATTCGAAACCATATACTGTATGTGCAAGTTTGCTGCCTCAGTTATGCTGAATGAAGAATTTGCACATTGTTCAGTTCTGGCTACTTCCGTTCTTATTATTCAGACTAACTGAGATGGTTCAGAAGAGGG